CTTGAGGGGGTTGAATAATATCTAATATACGACCCACTGAAACAAAATGTTTTGAAAAAAAATGAAAAGAATAAAACATTTTTTTAATGAAGCGTAAAATAAATGAATTACTGAAGAGATTTATATTCCTTCCGAGAATAGTAAAAATATTTACATATTATAAAGAGCTGTGTTTAATGCTACTAAAAGAAATATTTATAATACAAAAACAAGCTTAAAACATAAAAATGTTTTTGTTTAGTAGTGAATAAACAGAAAATTCGTTTTGCAGCAAAATACAAGGAAACTGATGCAAAATTATTTGATGTAAAAGGCTTCAAATAATTATATAATATCATACATAGAATGATGATAGAAGTTTACGGTCAAAATAGAAGTTTATTAAATTGGAAATATGCGCCTCCTCATCATAAGCAACAACCAAGGTGTTACATGTCAAAACAGACTCCTTGTTTGTGTACCACTGGCTCTGATATGTTGATTGGCAAAGGTTGGGTACACATGAATGCTAGTTTGGCAGAGGCTGAGCACAAATTGTCTGTGAATGTGATCTTGGTTGCATTAAGTCAGATCTTGGCAGACAGGATGATGAGAGTACCGCAGAAGTGGTTCAAAATGGCCAAAGAGGGTTTTTAACCTTGTATATCAGATGTGTGCTACCTGTGTGTACACCATAAGCCCTACTCAAATCATGGGTATTCACCACAGCAGTGGACACCCAGGAGTGCAGTACACTGCATACTTTGTATTCAGAATTTGCCCCTCTATGTCTGAACAAGAGGTTAAATTCACTAATCAATGTTCTGAGTTGAATGCAGAACAATAGACCCAGCAGTCCATTGGTGAAAAGGCAAGCTAGAAGTGGGCAGTATCTGGCACCAGCTAAGTATTAACACTATGGTAATAGTCATTATTTGACCCTGGCAGATTGTGGTTCAACAAGATTCACTGTATAGTGATCATTGGCCTGGCAGGATTCATTCAGCATAATGTGTCAATTGGAGTCCTTTTATGAAAAATATCCACTCCAAAAATTACTCATAGACAATGAAACTGTCCTAGTAGGAAACGGAATAGCAGACCACTGTCACAGGAGTATAAAGAGGATGCAGTCAGGAAGAAATGTTCTATCCAAGAAGCCATATATTGGTATAATGTTACCCCCGAAGATGACACCTCACAGCTTACTGTGTCTGCTAATGAGTTCTACACCTTTGAGGAATCAATTCAGTGCCTTCAACAAAGCCCAAGGTGAACACAACAGAATACAAGGTGGGAGACCATGTGTGCATAAAACACAATTGATGCACACCACTTTAATATGGGACAGATCAATGGGATTGTTAATCTACAGTTGGTCCTAGTGGGTGTGGGGAGGATATAACATGTCAAGAATCTCTGTCCATTCCCTGGCGGCTTGTATCCGCCAACAAGTAATGAAAATGATGTGTCCACGAGTGAGGACGGGAAAATCTTGGTAGATGCGTAAGATGAAGACAATGCATCCAAGAGTGAGAAGGAAGGCAGGCTTGAAAGAGCTACATGAATATCATACCCTTTTGGAAGAATCAGCTGAAAAGAAACTGGTGCAGAATGTTTCATCACCACTCTGGAGAAGTATGTGAAGGAAGAGATCTGCTTTGAGATGCCATAAACATAATCAGTAGATCAGAAGATTCACATTCTCAATTACAAAAAAGGTACCAAATCACGTGCATATTGGATGAAGGAAAGCATAAACAGACAGAAATTTGATGCCGGTTTTGAAACTTGTTACATCCAATTTTCTGTTGGTAGTTTTTCTATTAGGGCTTTTGTCACATGTCAATAGAAATGCATGCAATCAGGTAGATAGAGAGAAGAATTGGTGCCAGTGTTATTGTTAATTACATTCCCTTACAGTGTTTGCTCTGGGTTCTAGTCATTTCCTTTTGGTAAAAGTGTCACTAACCAAGAGCTTGTGCTAATTTGTATTGGACCTCCTATTATGACTTCAACCTTTTGTTATAGCATCAAATTCTGCTTATCAACTTTATTTGACCCATAATTCAAAGCTTGCACAGAAAATACAACTTCTGAGGATGGAAGCTAGTAGTTGAAGACAAAAAAAAACAAACCAATGAAAATGTGATAAAAAACAACAAAGATAGAGATTTTGGTTTCCTAATGACAAATATAATTCTCATAAGACTCTGAAAGTCAAAATAACTCCAAATCCAAGCAGCAAATGTTAAGATAGACTTTGTGAAATAGTTGACTTGTTATTGCACTCACATGACTGTTTGGTGACGGTTTTTGGTGGAGGAGGTAAGCCACTGAATGAATCTGGACTCAGGCAGAAATCTTTCTCAAGTGTCATCCATTCTGTTGGAGTTGGAGTTTGGGAAAGCCAGACAGCAACTGACAGCTGAACATGGTTACAGTCTCCTGGTACAGATGTTAGACTAAGGCTCAAAGGAATTACATACACAGTCTCTTCATAAAAGTAGGGTTTCTGTTTCTGTAAAGAGAAAAATAGGAGATAATTAAGAACTTGCAAAGTAAAGGAAGCATATATTCTAAGAATCATTGAATGGGTTTCTGAAGAGACATGAGCTTTGAAAGATTATCAAAAAAGTTTAAACAGATGAGAGAATTTTGCATTAAGTGCATTTATTTATTCAAAGAAATGGCAGATTGAAATTTACTATCCTTTAAAAGAAGCTTTTAAAGAACATTTTCCTATGTAAACCACAAAGCAAAGTTATATTAAAACATTAGCATGACAATTAATTTAGAACCAAGAGTTGCCTCTGTTGGCTAGTATAACATTTTTGTTTAATTTTTTACATTTTTATAACTGAACAAAGCATAAAGAATTTTATACTGTTTCCTATCTTTTTAATTTAGTTACAGAATATGAATAATTTGGTAGAAGACAGCAACAGAATAATACTAAATGATTTACAACTAAATGTGCAAATCACAAATTATTGCATCTTTTTGTGTAGAGAACAAAACAAACTAAAAAGTAAAATTTATAAAATTAATTCCTAATAATTAAATTTTCTCATGGTAATACTCTAATGAAACAGAGCAGATTTGGCTAAAAGACCACAAAAGAAATATCAGTAATGGTGTTCCAATCATCAAGAAAACATAATATTAGATCATTGCAAAAGTTTGTGCCCGATTTTCATTGTTAATATAAAATGACCGCAACTTGACACTATTGTTTGTTTTCGTATTGATTTCTGGTATGTTCTAGATTCAAACCTTGCATCATTCATGTGTGAGTCAGATTTTGTTGAATGTTGATGTTTTGTCTACAAATGAATGACAGTTAATGAAAAGTTGCATTTTTGTCATATTATGCTCTATGAATTTAAAAAAAAGGAATAAGCTTTGGAACTCTGACAAAAAACATTCAGAATGTTTATTTGGGTCATGCTCCAGCTCTTCAGTCAGTTAAAAAGTGGTTTAGTAGATTTTGTCAGGCTGATTTTAACCTAAACCATGCTCCAGGTGACCTTCCAACATTGATGAAGCTTGTCATCATGGAAAATAAACCAAAGATTTTGATGGAAGAGATTGAGTTTGAAAATCAATATCTTACCTGCCTTTCACCATTTGAAGAGTAGAGATGGAAGGTTTGACCAAAAAAATGACTTTTCTGGTTTCATTTTCACACCATGAAACCACATCGAAATTTACAAAACCAAAATCATTCAGTTTAGTGCTGCCACTACTAAGTGACCATATCCAAAGAAACACTATTGAAAAAGACTTTTAGATATTAATAACATTAAATTTTATATTTATACCATTGTAAGAGAAAAAGATTAAACAAAAATATGTTAAAAACATTTGATTGACTAGTTTTAGGAAATAAATGTGAAATCTATTTGTTTACAAAAGAAATGAAGAAAAAAAAGGAAATATGACTGATATGACACTAGGAGATCATAGAATGTTTTCAAACAGAGAATAAAGAAAAATACAACATGATGCCTGAAATCTATTTGTTTCAGTTTCAAAAAAAAAGAAAAAAAAAAGTTTTTTTTTGTGATAAAATTAAGTTAACAGCAAGTAAAAATAAAAAAAATGTTGCCAGTTTCATCTTAATGTTAAATTTTATGAAGTCAGATTTTTTTGTAAGTGTAGTGGGATTGGTTGGGCTAATATTAATTAGCATAACCATACCACTGTATAGGCAGAACTTGGGATGAACTGTTAGAGAGTGTCTCTTGTGAGGACTACTACTGTTGTGTGGGTATCAACTTCATAACAAAATGGCGTTGTGTTGGATTTGGAGAACCCTGAAGAGGCTATTATCTGGTTAAAGTATTTTGAAGCAATGGCCAGAATGAAGAAAATAAGCAGATGACCAAAAGCAGAAACAAATCACAGATTTATTTATGGCCACCGCAGGGTGTAAAGCCATTAAGCAAGTATCCTTAATGACTTACCCGGAGGAGATTGAAACTAAATTCTAAAGACATTAAGGAGATAATTTTAAAGAGTATCCAACCAAAAAAAAGATTGGTCATTGCTGAAAGGACCAAATTTCTAGCATTAAGACAAGAGTCTAGAGAACCTATTAGGAAATATCTCAGTAGACTAAGAGATACTAGTAGGTATTGTGACTTTAATGAACTTGGACGAAAAGGAATGACAACAGAGGAGGAATTGATTCAGCTTCGACTGGTGGAAGGATTATATGATACTATGCAAAGACTTAAAACTTTGGAGAGGTTGCAATCCAATAATATGAATTTGGAAGTGTGTATTGAATTTATACAACAGGACGAGTTGATTGAAAAATATAATATAAAAAAAAAAACAAGAAATGATGGAAATATGTGCCATTAAGAAATAAACAAAATCAAAATGCAAGTATTGCAGTTATGAACACAAGCTAAAAAGAGAAAAATGTCCTGCATATGTGATAATTGTAGAAAAAAGAATCATTTTAAAGCCGTGTGTAAATGGCAAAGCAACAAAGAAAAAAATGTGGAAAGAGTACAGAATGGAATAAAAAAATCAAATGGATGATTTTGCAATAGAAAAAACAAATCAAAAGGAATATGTTCAAGAGTATAAAGTTAAATGCTATAAATTTAAAGATGCAAGTCAACACAGGAAGTGAGGTAACTCTCATTCCTAGAAACTTGGGGGAAAAATTAAAGAGACCGAAGTTAAGAAGAAGTCCAGTAAGACTAAAACAATTCAATGGAACCTGTATCAAAATGTTAGGTTCTTTTCAAGGGACATTTGAAACAGCAAAGAGATTTGAAACAATCACCATCATAGTAGTGGATTGTATGAAAAGTCATAGCCTAATAGGCACTGACTTAGTAAGTGTTAATAGTACACAATTACTGAATGCTATCAATGTTAGAAGTTTTGAAACAGGAACATTAAAAAATTATAAAGCAAGCATTAAGCTAAAAAGAAATGTTACGCCGTCATATTTTTAAAGTCGTAGGCTTTCCATACATATAAAACCAATGGTGATTGAGAAGCTGAACAAAATGGTAGAAGGAATACTTCAACATGTTGACCCAGGAGGCGGTAAATGGGCATCCCCTATTGTCGTTGTAAGGAAACATAATGGCGATGTTAGGATGTGTGGTGATTACAAGGTAGGTGTGAATCACAAAATTTGTTCAGATTCATATCCTATTCCAAATGTAGAAAACATATTGCATTTCTTTACAGGAAGGAAATATTTTGCTAAAATCGATTTAAAGAACGCATACCACCAAATCCAAATAGACAATGAATTCAAAAAAGTTACAACAATAAACTCGTCCCTAAGCGTATTGAGGTGGACTCACTTACCATTTGGAGTTAAGACAGCCAGTTTGATTTTTCAGAAAGCCATGGAAAATCTACTAGAAGGAAAAGTAAAAATTATAATAACATACCAGGATGATATTGGTTAGACACCCGTACTGAAGAAGAATTAAAACAGAAAACTAAAATGGTAATGAGCATACTTAGAAATGCAGGAATGACTTTAAACAAGGATAAATGTATATTCAAGCGCAAAAAATTAACCTTTTGGGGATATCAAATTTCAGAGGAGGGTATTCCACTGGACTCAAAGTTGATACAGAAAATATTGAATGTTTCGTCTCCAAATAATGAGAAAGGGTTGGAATCATTTCTTGGATTAGCTAACTTTTATAGAAAGTTCTTATCAAAATATTCAGAAAGAATAGAGCCATTTTCTGAATTATTAAAAAAAATAAGGAGTTTCAGTGGACTAATATTCACCAAAAAGCCTTTGTTAAATTGAAGTTAGCATTATCCAAGAAACCAGTTGTCAAGATTTTTGACCCTAATAAAGAAGTTACATTAACAACAGATGTGAGTGGACAGTCTGTATCAGCAATTTTGTCACAGGAAGGATGCCCGGTGATGTATCTTTCCAGGAAGTTAACACCAGCTGAAAAGAACTATTCAAATATTGAAAAGGAAGCATTGGCTATAGTATGGAGCATGACCAGAGCAAGAGAATTTTTGTTAGGAAAAAAGTTTTTGCTCAGGTCAGATCATAAACTGCTAGAATTCATATTCCATCCCAGAAAAGAATTGCCAAAGGTTACATCATCAAGGATACCTAAGATGGGCAATGAAGTTGATGGCCTTTGACTACAAAATAGAATATGTGAAAGGAAACACGATCCCACACGTAGATGTACTATCACGACTACGGTTTCAGGAGGAATAACATGAGAAAAATGAGAAAGTGGAAGATGAAATTTTATATTGGGTGGAGACCAATGTATTGCCCATTAATAGACTCATGATGGACACTCTACAAGATCCAGTATTGAATAGGATCGTAGAGAGAATAAGGAACAACAAATGGAGTAATTGTTTTAAAGTGGAAAGACCGTACAAAGAAATCAGACATAAATTGACAATAGAAAATGGCGTATTTTCAATGGAGATCTGGTGGTACCACCAGAAAATTGTAGAAGACAGGTAATCAAAAGTGTGCATGATGATGTGCATTGCAGAATAGCTGCTACACAAAAACGGGTAAAATTGGAAGCCTGGTGGTCTGCTAACACTAATCACGTGAAGATGTACATGAATAAATGTCCTAAATGTGCGGAGATAAAAAATTTGACAGACCAAGGCACATTCGTGGCCAAAGGAAACTGAACCATGGTCCAGGGTTCACATGGACCATGCACATATGAATGGTATAGGATTGTGTCTCATATTGGTGGATGCATTTTCAGCATGGGCCGGAGTTTTTAGGGTTCAGGATAGAAAATCAGATACAGTGCAACAAATTTTACGAATAGTCTTTGCCAGGAATGGCATACCAAGGACATTGATAACAGATAATGCTCCAGAGTTTTGCGATGAAAACTTGTGTTCATGACTAAGAAACATTGAATGCATACCGTATAAAACCCCTCCTTATCATCCGCAATCAAATGGAATAGTGAAGCGAATGGTGCAAACCATAAAATGGGATTAAAAGCATTTTTCCCCACA